GGGCTCAAACTTGCCATCCTCCTGCCTCAGCCTCCCAGCGTGCTAGGTAGGATTGCAGGTCTAACTGGCCACACCCGGCTCTCCTTGGTCTTTCTCAGGGAACACTGCGTTTTCCTCTCTTACTCCTAGGTATTGTCCTTCACTGTAACCTGCTGGCCACGCCTGGCCTGCTCTGAGCCACCCTGAAGAAGGCCAGGTTAGGGGCTCCATCCTCCACAGATCGGCACTAAGTGCCCACGCGGAGCTGACGCCAGCCAAGGCAGAGGGAGAGCGAGGGCGCCCCCACGTGGCAGCCTCAGCACTGCAGCTCACAGAAGAGGAAATCGGGAGGATGCTAGTCCAAACACGGAGAGCCCCTACCCACTGTCTTGCTACCTGCAGGCTCAGTTACCCATAGTCAACCGCAGTTTGAGATTAAATGCGGGCTGCCTCACACCTGTAGGGACACACGCCTTAATCCCAGCACTCAAGAAGCTGAGGCAGGAAAACTGCCACAAGTAGGAAGCCAGTCTAGGCCACACAGTGAGTTCAAGACCAGCCTAAACTATATAGTGAGACCCTGTCTAAAAAAAAAAAAAAAAAACTATGAAAATGTTAAAATATAAAATTACAGAAATAAATACTTTATATTTTTGAATTGCATACCACGCTGAGCAGTAGGATGCGCTTCTCTGCCCTGCGCGGCCCTGCCCAGGTGAACTGCCTCCCCTCTGGCGTGTCTGCCGTGTGCACCACCTGCCTGTAACTCCCAGCACCTAGACGGCGAGACTGACGACGGCCGGCCCCACCTATAAATGAAATGCCAGCAGAGGTACGTCCGCATGGAAGGAGCGTAATATAAACGAGGCCTGGTACTCTCTGCGCTTCAAGCAGCCTGGGGGTGGGGGTAGAACACAGCCCCCCAAGCGAGGAGGGGCCGCTGTAACTCTAGCCAGGGCTGACATTTGGAAGGCAAAAGCACAGGCTCCAGCCACACTGTCCACTACACTCTGAACCAGCAGGATCTGCCGTCCTCACCTGGTGACCCTCCCGTGCTCTGGCCCGTTCTTCATCAGAAAGCAGAGGGCCAGACGATCTCAGGTGAGTTCTGATGTTGTCTTTGCTGAAAAAAACCACCTTCCTGCGTTCAGGTGTCCCAGTGGCTCCTCCATTCCAATGCTCACGCAGGCTGCAGGGCCAGCTGGAAACCAGGTGATGTCCACCCTTCAGCTGGGTGTGGACAAAGGCCACAGAGGCCAGCCTCCACCCTTGGCTTCTCTGCCCACTGCTCTGCCTTGCAAATCCTCAAGTGCTGCCCCACACCACTCCTGGCTCCACCACCAGCCTCTCTGGGTCCTGGAAAGCTCCTGCGTCGAGGCTGAAGTCCCCTCCTTGGAGGACTGCCTGCTCTGCCTCAGAGGGCAGAGCCTCGGGTGCAATCTTCCCAAAGGGTCCAGCGTCCTCTTCCCAAGTATTCGCTCAATCTGAAGAGCAGAGGAGTACATTTTACAGTAAGACTTCCAGTGCGTGTACAAAAGCTAATATGTGTGAGGGCTTCGGTATTCGGTGGTAAAAGCCTGTTAACTCCTGACAAGAATAGCAGTTTAGATGCTGTCATGCAGCTTTGCTGTCTGGGCTGTGTGCTTGACCCTTGCAGACCTGGGGAGAGCAGGAAGCAGAGCCCCCCAGGCGCTTCCCGACATAAGCCCCAATGGACAGCGCTCTGGGTCTGTACCTCTACCCACTGTCCGATGGAGACCACTATGAAGCGGCTCTGGGCAGGAGTTAATATTGGCCAGTTGACTTTCATGTTTACAGGTGAGGTCGCCTGAGGCCTAGGCCGTCTGGAGATGGGCAGTGGACTCACAGTAAGTGAACCTCTGAGTCTCTGGTCCCTGCTGAGGCCTGTAATGGCCTGTGAAGCTGGGACATCTTAAGGCCGCAGCTGAGGATGTTTGGCTCCAACTCGTTAACTAAAAGGAGACTGCAGCTGCAGACTTCTCACTCCTGCAGTGAAGGCCTTCCTGGAGAAAACACAGTCCTGCTAAAGTATCATAAAGTATTACTTGGAGAAGTCCTTAGAGGGATTCCCAAGTCCCGCCCAGATTCCTGCCTTTTCTTCAGTACCCCCCTCCTTTGTTTGAAAACCTAGTAATTACAGGCTGCCCAGAAAAGTTCTTGGTCTAAAACCCCAGAATCTCGAATTCTGTGAGAGGGTTAGGATCCGCCCAGAGCCTTCAAATCACTTCAGCTGTCTCATTCGTTTAAGCCTTCGCTGTCCACTTGTTTGGGAGATTGCGGGCCTGATCAGCCCACAGTAACTAGGGGATAATATAAATGCGGTAACTGTCCTGAGGCCTGTCTTCCCTATATCCAGGACACGTAAGCTTGCCTTACGCCCCTGATGCGCTGCCCCTAATGGGTACCTTTTCCACGGTGTCTCGTGAACTGATGCTCTAAAGTTCACGGCCCCATCCATGTCTACACTTCTGGCAGGAGCAAACCAGGCCTGCAGGCCAGGCCCCGGGGTGCCTGCCAACAACCCTGGAGTGTGCCCGGCAGCCCCAACACTTGCACCCCCAGGTAAGTGCCGGGAACCATGGTGCCCGCAGGACTCGGCACAGGCCCTGCCACCTCCCTCCTGCCAGCCGCTGCCACTCTATTCCCCTCCAGCCAAGCTTCCTGACCAGCTGCTCAGGGAGCCTGTGCTTCCCCATGGGCGCCCCACACTGAAGCCTCAGCCACTTACACACCCGCGCACGCACACACAAGCGCACGCGCGCACACACACTCTGGCAGCTCCCGGCTTCTGTCAAAGCTCAGTCTCCTCCTGCTGCCACATCCACCTGGGAGACAGCTGACCGCCGCGTCTACCCTCTGCCAGGTCTCAGCCTGCCGCCATCTGCCCTTACCCAGGAAGCGATCCCGCTACGCGTCCAGTCCCATCTCTGACTCCAGGTGTGGGGCCTTGGAGCCACTTCCTTAAAATGCTGCACGTCTGCTTACCATCTACTCAGAGAGAACGTATCAGCAAAAGTAATCAGGAACCACCCACAGTCCCACCCTAAGGAGGAAACCACTTCACTTGGAAGCACCCCTTTGGGTTTCTTGTGGAAAACGTTTCACAGGGTTTTTTCCAAACAAAGGAGAGCTATCTCAACTCGCACAGCAGTCGAGCGCAGGCCTGTCTCATCCTGCACACATCTAGGAGACTGCTCGTCACGCTTGCAGAAAAGATCTAAACTGAACTTGGTGGTGTGCACCGTCCCACCTGTTCGGGAGGCTGAAGCAGGTTCCCAACCTTGAGGCCAGCTCGGGCAATTCAGAAAGAGCGGTCTCAACACGAAACTAAGGGTGGACATACAGCTCAGCGTGAGGGCCTGTGCTCAATCCCCAGTACCAAGGGGAGGAAAGCTCTAAGCAGCCCGAGTCCTATCAAATTCTACTCGATCCCATCCCTACCATCTCCCTCCAAAGATCACCTTCAAACCACACCGGCTCTGAACCCAAGTGCTTCACACCCAGCAAGCTCACGGGGACCCAAACTTCACAGCAGCCCGACCCTGCACCAGCCCCTCTCCCCAAGAGCCAGGCCCCGAGCCCTCCTGGTAAGCAGGGCTCCTCCCCCACCCCAGGATCCCTGCAGGACACCCCCCACCCGCCACGGCCATGCCATGCTTCCACCCCACCAGGGGCCGCCCTTCTGGGTAAGCTTCCAGTCTCACTGGGTTACACAGCTCTCAGAGCCACAGATCACGAAGACTCCAGGGAGGAGGCACCCACCCCTCCCCATCTAGGCCCCAGGCCTTGTGCTGCCAGAGTGTGACGCTTCCACCCACACACGTCCCACACTCACACCACAGCCCCTGGGGCAGCAGCTGCTATGGCGAGCTATCTGGGCAGGCATCGTTCCTGCAACCCCTCATGCACCATTACCAGCCTTCTGCTATCGGGGCCAAAACCCTCAAAGGCCAACAAGGGCTCCCGCACCAGGCAGAACGGGGCCGAGGTGGAGAATCAGCCAAGTGCAGTGGCACCTACCTGCGAGCCCAGCAGAGGGCTGAGTCAGGAGGACTGGAAGCTTGAGGCCAGCCTGGGCAGCTTCACAAGACTCAGTCTCATAATTTAAAAAAAAAAAAAAGAAAAACAAGCCTGGGGAAGTAGCTCCCAGCAAAGGCCCTGGTGCAATCCCCAATGCAGAGAAGGGAAAAGGGACTGGAAAGTGAACTGGGGAGACAGCACCTTGCCACCCCAGCGAGCAGAGCCGCTCACTCTCCAGACAGGTCTCCAGCAGGGAGGAGGGAGCAACCTCAGCTAACTGGCCCTGCTCTCGGAGCAAATCACTGATCACACACACACACACACACACACACAGCAGCCTGTACAAAATTAAGCAAACCATTCCTTTGAGTGTAAGACAGGTTTCTTTTATTAGTTTTTCCTAGACTTGTCTCACGTTTACTGAATGTTTTCCTCAGTGTAAGAATGTGACCTGGGGTTTTAACAAATCAATCCAGATACGCAACCTAGAAAAATGCTGGCCCGCGCGCAAGTCACCAGCTTCCGCTCTCCAGCCTGCCTCCATTCATCTGACTGGTCTTACAGCCTCTTCTTACAGGGCAAGAAGACCTCGTCATCTTATCCCTAGTTTGAACTCTGAACTTCAGATTCACCCCCATCCCAACACCCAGACCCTTCCCCACACACGCACGTGCGCACACACACACACACACACCAATATTTAGAAGAAATGGCCATTAAAGACTGGGTCAGTTGCATAAGTCGGCTTAATCCTGCAGCCAGCACTTCCAACAGTGGTTGGCTTCACAGCAGGCCAGCTGGGACTCCTGAAGCTCAAAAGCGAAGGAACAGGACAGGACGTGAGGACAGGCCCCGAATCCTGGGGCTTCTGGGGAGACTCCCACCTCGCCATGCCCCATACCCCTCTCCAGGAACGCTCCCTCCAGCATCGGAGAGCGGCACACCTGGAAGCTTTCTGCATAGACATGGACAGAGACTCATTGTAACTATGCAAGGTATAATCTTATTTGGAACAACATACGCCAAAACTAACAGAGACACACTCTGTTATACAGACGACCGAGTATTACAAAGGTCCAGAACATAACCAACAAAGCTTGCCACGGTTTCTAAAGTAAGGCAGGTGCCAGGTCTGGCCTCTAATACAGACTTCCCTTCTAGTGCCCAAAATGCCTCACCCCCGCTCCATCCACACTGCCACAGCAGTCAGGGGAATGCTTTGGTGCCCCTGGCACTGGCTGCGCAGTTAAAAGCACGCCGCGGCTGTAACTTCGGGCACATTTCTTCATTGCTAATTTCAGACTCATCCAGTACGATCCAGTGTATCTTAGTATTTTTATGCTCTGTCAGCTGTTTAACGTACAAATTGGCAGATTCGTGACAGACATTAACAATACGACTGTAAGCTAAAAAGAACTTTTAACTCTCATCCCACGAGTGTGAGCAATACCTCAAGCTTACACAGAACATCTCCCACCTGAATAAACAGGCCAGGACACTAATCTTTATACCATACTGAGCAAGGATCAACTCCTCAGTTAAATTTACCACGCCTGTAACAGAAAGCTTATCCACCCAATTCTAACCTTCTGAAAATTACTCAGACTTTGATGTTCGGGATATTAGTGAATACATGTTCAGTCAGGAAGCACCTCCAAGTCTAATAAAATTCTCAGTTTACATCTCGCTGGGTGGGGGGGTTACATTCCCGAGAGCAGCTCGTGGCATTCTGAGTGGGTGCTCTTTGGGGACAGAACACAGGGCAGGGCTTGGGCTGGGAGGACAGGTGAGGCGCAAACGGTCAGGGCGTGCCTTTGTTGCTCTACTCTGCTGCTTCATGCCAGGCCACACTCTGAACCTCAGAAACAGCGAAGCCCCCACTTTCACCCCTACACCAGGCAGGGAGCCTCTGTGGCAATCTCCACAATAGAGCTCGCAGCGTAATTAGAACTCCTGCCACAGCTGTCACGATGAAACGCCTGCGTGATAACTAATTACAGCTTTTCCTATAGTTCAACTTTCCAAAACAAAGGTATTGTTGTAGAAGCATGATTAAACATAAAAGGAGTGAAGCGTAAGCTCAGTAAGACTAACTGGGCTTCTAAATAGTACCATTATGAAAAAGATACAATGCACTTCAGTTCTGTACCTAACTATTTAGAAGTCAAAATGCTCCATACATGACCTATACCCCCACCCCCCAATTCCCTAAAAATTGACTAAGAAATCTCCAGTATTCACTTGCTCTAGTTGATATTTAGAACAAAGTTGACAACTTAAAGCTTTATAACAGTCTGTTTTAATATAAACAAGTGTTGGAATCAATCAATGTCCATTTCCGGAAGCTTCTTGTCCGAATCCGAAGGCACAGCCGTGTCTGCACCCTGCTCGGCAGCCTGCGGGCCTGGGCTATCTCCTTGGCCGTCCACTGGTCCATTCTGCTCGGCAGTTTTTTGTTCCTCTTTTGGAGGTTCCACTTTGGGCTTGGGCTTTGAAATTATAGGGTTACAAATACTTGTCAGCTCCTAGAAGGGTGAGAGGAAACTGTTGGTTCTCGTGAATTAACAAACTTTACAGACACGCGTTAAACCCGAGCTCACCCTGCCTCTCGCCACCCCCACCTCAGAAGCTAAGCTGCAACACGAACTTCCCTCCTAAAAACCATGTCAGGCTACTACCAGCAACAAAGCGGACAAGGAAAGACTGCCATGAACAACCTTCATTTTAGCTTCTATCTCCTTTGTCTTGACAACCGGATCCACGGTCAGGCTCTGCTTGCTCTGCAGGTTCAGCTTGTTATTCATCCACTCCATTGCCTCATTCGTGCTTTTTTCCACCTTTGCCATATCAGCTGCATCTAAGTGGTCATACTGGTCCTCCTAAAGCAGCAGGAAGTCAGACAAGGGTCAATGGATGATCCTTTTCCTCAGCCAGCACTGTCCAGTTCTCTACATTTTCCCAAATGTTACAGTCTTTCAAACAACGAAGCACATTTAGCCTAACCATATAGGCAGATGCTAAATACTGGATCTAAGTAAGCTGTTAAACATTAAAAAGGGAACAATTCCAATTATTAGAACACTCAGGAATTCAGGCATAGTAGTGCACCCCTTTAATCCCAGCACTCAGGAGGCTGAGACAAGAGGATTGCCGTTAGTTCAAGGCCAGCCCAGGGTACATAGTGCGTTCAAGGTCAGCCTGAGCTACACAGTGAGACCCTGTCTCAGAAAGGGAGCCCTGGAGGAGGGCAGGAGAGTACAGCGGTGGAGCACCTGCCCGGCACGTGCAAGACCTTGGACTCAGTACCTAGCAGCACCAAAACTAGTAACAATAACCCGGGACACAGGGGACTCAAGCTCTGCAGCCAGACTCTTCACGCTGAGTCCCAGCCCTCCCAGTTAGTAACGCTGGGTCTAACTTAAAGTGAGGCCTAAAGGAGTCAGAAGTTACTTATCCATCTACTGCCTACTTCACAAGGTTACTTTTCCACTGAGTGAGACGACGTATACATGGAGTGTATATCCTTTAATACTTCTATACCTCTAAGCAGTTTACTGATAGGTTAGCATTAAACCCACAAACCAAACCAAATCACAAGCTAATGCGCCCTCCCAAAGCCCAGCACAGAGCGTGTTAGGTCTAACTTGGAGGAAGCACTTCACGGCAAGAGAGTTCAACAGTATCGCTCCACTCCAGTCTACCTATTAAAGACAAGTAGCAAACCCTGTGTTTCTTAGTAAGATTCTACAGAGCCTTACACGCTGGTTACCATTCAAAATGAAAACATTAACAGTTAACAAGAACTAAGGACATTACACAAATGTCTCAAAATTTAACTATCAAAACAAAAGTAGGGAAAAGGAAAAAAAAATAGGTACCTTATTTTTGAAAGAGCTGATTACTTTCATATACTGCTGGATTTGTTTCCCTAGTTCTTCAAATAATTTTGGTCTTTCTTCAGATTCCTGGAACCGTATCTTAATAGGCTGACCTAAACTCTTAACAGGAAAGAGAATATACAAATTCTTCACCAAGCACCTTACAATCAGTTGTATTGTTTCTATGACTGAGATCCTGGGTTAAAGTACATTTAGTCATCCCATGGTCTACACGCGTCCCCCAAACATTAGAAATGCAAGGCTGGCATAAGTACACCTCAATACCTATGGCGTCGCATCACGTATAACTTGAGCTCTCCTCCAAACACGGTGAAAAGACAACTAAAAATTACTTTCCTCAACTAGAACAAATAGAGAAAACTCCTAATACAGATAAGTGAAACTAAATATAAAATACACTCACTAAAAACCTACAATTTTAAAAACATAAATAGCACCTGAATCTAATGAAGCCCTATAAGTCTAAACCAAATGTTAAATATCACCACGGAGATGAAAATCAGCAAAACCCAGAATGGGAGAAAACCCTGCAGGGCAAATGATGCAGTCACTTCCTGCGGTGAGGAAGGGAAAAGAACAAAGGGAAGAGCCGCAGACTCGGGCTGAAGAGACAGAGCAGTGAGCGTACAAACGGTGTTTGAATCCTGATTCAAACAAACTAAAAGACAATAATCCTCATTTGTGAGAAGTGGAACCTGAAAACTGAATTCGATGGTGATATTAAGGATGATTTTATAAAGGTACTGAAATATTTTTAGATCAAACATAACATGAAGGGCTTGCTTCAACTGGGAATGGAAAGAACAGATAAAAATAAACTGCCCCTAAAAGCCGAAGCTCTTGGTCTCTGCTTTCACGTCTGCCATCTCTCAGGAGACAAAACCAAAACATCCAGCGGGAAGGACCACACATGGACTCTGCCCACTCACTCTTGGCCCAACATTGTCCTTCACGGCTCCCTTATGACGGTGGTCATTTCAGCCCCGTTCCGTGGGAAACCAGGTAACTTAGCGTCAGAACTAAAGGGAGAGGCTCCTTCTGGTGCGAAGGCATGTTTGTGCAAATGCAAGGCCTCACTTTGGATGACTGACTATATATCTTAACCCTAAGGTTTAACAACTCCATCCTTAAATACAGAGCTACGTACACAGCCTGCCCCAACGGCACCACAGGACAGGACTGTATTTTGCTAGTCTTTTCATCTCTGGACACTGTATTTCTATTTCAATGAAAGATTATTGTTTTTATGAGGCTCTAAAAGTGAGAACGATAATGAGCTTCACACGTTCACGATGGGGGCCCGATGGGGCCGATGGACAGTCGTGCGTGTACCTTCAGTGGCTCAGGCCAGTGGTACTGTGCTAAGTCATAAAGGGAACAGTTCCTCAAAACATTATTTTCAGTTTGTGTTCTTTAACTTGACATAAAACTTCAATACTGAGCTACTGCCCTCATAAGATACAACGTTTTGTGGTAACGTGCTCTGAAGAGCCGCTTACTTTTAATTCGGCCAATTTATCTACATAAACTTGCTTTGGCTGATCTTCTCCATCTTCATACAACCAATTTTCAGTATCTTCTAGTTTCAAGGTAAAACTGTTATGATCCTAAAGACAAAGAAAATGTTGTAATTAGGTCAATCATGAATCAGATGAATCACCAATGCAATCGCAGGCATGAACTGCAGACATATCTGCAATTTGCTTTAAACTGCAGGACAAAGCCGGGCATGGTGGCACACACTTGTAATCCCAGCACTCAGGAGGCTGAGTCAGGAGGATGGTTTCAAGTTCAAGACCAGCCTAGAATACAAAGTGAGCTCAAGGCTAGCCTGAACTGCACAGTAAGACCCTGTCTCAAAAAAACAACAAAATAAATAAAATAAAATAAAATTAGATAAGATAAAATAAAATAAAATACTACAGGAAAAGTAGAGAATGGGGAATACATGGTGGCACACACCTATAATTCCAGCACTCGGGAGGCTGAGGCAAGAGGATCACTGCAAGTTCGAGACCAGCCTGGGGTACAAAGTGAGCTCAAGGCCAGCCTGAACTGCACAATGAGACCCTGTCTTAAAAAGACAAAAAATAAATAAATAAAATATAAATTATTGGGCTGGGGATTTAGCTCAGCAGCAAAGCACCTGCCTGGCAAAGTGCAAGGTCCTGAGTTCGATTCCTGATAACGGAAGAAAAAAATGAAAAACAACAACAAAAAAATGTAAATTGTTGTCTATGAAAAAATAAGATGCCCCCTGAAAATAAGCCCTACTGTGTCCTTTGGAACAAAAGTCACATAAGACCTGGTCTTACTTTTGGGGAAACACAGTACATACAGTTGAGGAATTCCTAGAAGACACACAGTACCTAAGCACAATGCAGTACACACTTACATCTTCACTCACGAACTTCTCGTAGTCACCACTAAGCTTGTTTCTCATTTCATACACATACTCTTCCACTGCATTCTTAGCATCATTCCGCTCCTTCTCTAGTTTGTCCTGCATGATCATTTTACCCTGAGAACATATAAATTAATTAGGCATTATGACAACTAAGACCATTTTCTATTAAATATTAACAAATATAATTTAAAATAGAGAACCCTTCTTCCTCAAATCCTCTTAATACTGAGTGCTCAAAACAAACGAGAGCTAGAAGCCTGGACAAAGTTTTGAAGTTAAAGAACGGAGAGTGCTAGGCAGGCATGGTGCACACACCTCCACCTGCCTGTACTTCCAGCTGCTCAGGAGGCCGAGGCAGATGGATGGCAGGTAAGGCCAGCCTGAGCAATTCAGCAACAGTCTTTAAAAAAAGAAGAAGAAAAGAAAAGAAAGAGCTAAGGATATAGCTCAGGGCTCCGAAATCATTCCCAGCACCAAGAAAAAGGGCAGGGTTTCGGGCTGGGCGGGTGGCTCAGTGCTAGAGCACCTGCCTATCTAGCACTGTGCAGCGTATGGGGGAGAGGGAAGGGCGAGGGGGAGGGGCTGGGGTTAGGGAAAGGAGGGGGCCTTTTCAGGAAAGGACAGGGAAAATGAGCAGTGGGAATACGAAGATGTAGACTGCCATAAAATATGGGAAAGAATTTAAGACAACACATTAAACATTGGCTTAATATCATTAGGTAATATCCTGCTATATTTTGCATTATGGAATACCAGGAGAAAACAAATTTATACAAGCAAAACAAATGGTAAAGGTCCTACAAAATGGAATTATTCTGAGGTTCAGCACTTGATCTCAATAAAAAATCTCAGGTAACAAACAAATGTTGCTCACAGGCCCCAAATTTTATGTCATTCACCATTAGAAGAAAAGCTCTATTTATACACCAACTTGCAACAGCGGAAGAAACTGATAAGCGAAGCAGTGCTACCATTACTGCCAGGCGATTGCTTCTACTGATCAGCCACTCCGAACATCCCAGTCTCTACTGGACAAACGCGCATCTCAAACCCAACATCTCTCCCAAAGACATTACTGAAAAAGATGTCCCAACAGAGCCTCCAGGAAAGACACCGTATTATCACCATTTTGAAGGATTGCGGCATAACCTGGATCTATTACTTAAACTTCCCCTTACCCTAAAAAAAAAACCTGTTTCCTCAAAGTCCAAACTACCAAAAATGTACAATTATCACGGAACACAGACTCTGAAGGCTACGGTCACATTCATCTATTAGCTCACTCTTCTAGATGACTGTAAGTAACAACCTCATTTTCAATGTACAAGTTGAGCATCTCTCGGTCTATCTGCCACAGAAGCTGATTCTCAATTGGCAGGTCCACAGTACTGGTCTTCACTTTTGCCTTCTTGGCTTGAGGCGGTTGGTCCATCTTTTTATCTTTTGATCCAGCTTGAGAAGTCTAAAATTATTAAAGAAACATATGCAGCACAATTTAAATTTCACAATGGGTCAAATTTCAAAAGATGTTTTTGTGGTTTTCAGAACTTTAGTTTTCTGATGATTGAGTAAGGGGACTATCACACTAAGTGTATAATAAAAAATGAAGATGACATGAGATGACCAAGGCAGTCAAATCCAGAGACGGACATATTAATGCTAGCTGTCAAGGCAGGGAGGCGAGAGAAAACAGGGAATTGAATAGTTCTAAGTGGGTACAGTTTCATTTTCCAAGATGAAAAAGTTCTAAAGATTGGCTGCACCACAATGTATATTTACCTAATATTTTACTGTATATACTTAAAAATGCTTACTACGGTTAACTTTATTGTGTTTATTCTACCCAATTAAAAATTTTAAAAATTTAAATATACACATATATACCTAACCTTCTATAATCCCACAATCAACACATAATCACTGTAATTTTTCAGGCTAGCTCAGTGATACAGTACCTGCCTGGCAAGTGCAAGGTTCTGAGTTTAATCCCCAGCACCACAAAATATGAAATTCACCTTCCACTCCTGTCTAACACACAGGCATCTGGCAATGTTCACAGCTACTTATCCTCTCACAGGACTGAGAGAACCCATCCCACTGAACAATGTCTACAAATGCAATTCACTTAACTCTCACTGATATTTCCTATTTTTCTGGATCTATAACCTTTCTTCACACAATTACATAGCAGATTTACTACCTATCTGCCTACTCTCATTTTATCCACTATGTCCTTAACGCTTTTGCGATTTTCCCCCACAAATGAGTCTTCTAGTTTTTTCCAATTTTAATCATGTTTTACTATCGGACATATCTGTATCTACAGATATATATAGATATATATAATATCCGTCACTTCCTTTATGATTACTTTGTTGTTTTTATGCTTTGAAAGCCTTTCCCCATCCACAGGTTAGAAAAATATTTAAACTCAAACTATCTTTGAAAGCTGGGAGTGGTGGTGCACACCTGCAATCCCAGTACTCAGAAGGCTAAAACAAGAGGATCACCTCAAGTTCAAGACCAGCCAGAGCTACACAGTAAGACCTTGCCTCAAAAAAAAAAAAAAAAAAAAAAAAACACTTTTGAATTCATTTGGAATTGTTTGTTGTATGATGTGAGGCAAAACTCCCAACGTCATTTCCCTACCTCTTACCCATGTAACTTGCTAGCTACTGAAACGTATGTGTCATATGTATTTCACTTGCCTTAAAAACAGTATTACGGAAGGCACTTCAGCTCCTGGCCACCTATCAGAAGCCCAAGTTACAGTTCCCCCTGGGAAAGTGTGGTACCAGCAGGCAACTGGAAAGGGTGCCACTCAGGGCCTTGCATCTCTTTCTCCTGACACTAAAGGACAGAAACCTCTCTTGCCGCTGCCCCAAGGTTTCCACCCACTAAAGAATCTGTCAGCACAACCTCCTCTGCCCTTTTTCCTTTTTAATGCACTACCTGTACAGCTAAAGTCAAGCAACTGCGCTGGGCGTGGTGGCACAGGCCTGTAATTCCAGCACTCGGGAGGCTAAGGCAGGAGGATCCTTGCAAGTTCAAGGCCAGCCTGAACTGCATAGTGAAACCCGGTGTCCCCCCAACAAAAAGAAAAAAGATAAAAGTCAAGCAAGTATAATTTCCCACTGCCATAAAATGCGTAGCACACCGATGCCACTTTAAGGTTCTATCAAAAGTTTGTAAATGCCATAATGAGAAACTCTCAAAACAATGAGATGATACATTCCAATTTCTTAAATAACTTTAAAGAAACTGAATTTTCAATGCTAGAAACAAATTTGAACACGAAAGTGCAAAATTAAGTAATCACTGATACAGAACACAAATGTAGGATAAATGCATTATTTACAAAATTTACTTAAATATATCATTTATGTATCTTTCAATAAAAAGACAAAAGGCAGGCAGATAACAGAACCTGAAAAAAGTGCTAAGTCCCACTGTTTGTTTGTAACAAATCAGTGACTTAGGAAGGACCACTCCGTCGCCAGAAGCACAATCACGAGCCTGGTGACACCAGGGGTGCTAAGGGTTCTCCTCCTCTCATGTCATCAACTCGAGCAGAGCTTAAAAGTGTCTTGCAAAGGGTACCTTCCAAATCCAAAATCTCACGAAGAAACCATGCCAGTAAGTAATACAGCCAAACCTTCCCCCAAGACAGCCCCTCATCCAACACCACATGTATTAAAGAGACTTAAAGTCAAAGTAACTCAAACCTCCATTTCTTCAGACTCTGCCTTATTTTCTGCTGGTGTCTGCTGCTGTTGCTCTTCAACTTGTGGCTCTTCCTGGTCCACTTGCATCTTCTAAAAAATAGATCAAATTAAATCTTGAAACTAAAAACTATTCATGGAACAGTAAGTAACCATCAAGACATACTGACAAAGTGACATGATATGAAATTCTTGCTGAATTACCAGCTATGAGAAGATAAAGGCTCAAATTCCAGCTATACCACATGTCACCTGGAACAACATGTTTTTCTCTCTGGAACTCAATTAATACATCTGTACAACTGGGTAACACTTCTCACCCTTCTATTATATAAACAAGAATGATTACGGAGCCAGGGATAGAGCTCATCAGCACAAGCACCTGCGTGGCAAGCGCGAGGTACTGAGTTCAATTCTCAGTACAAAAAAAAGAAAAAAACAAAGAAGAATGATTATGGAAGGCTCTGCTTATGGAGGCTTTGCAAACCAAGAAGTACTCATAAAACACAATGTGGCATCATTCCAAAATACAATCTCAAGTCGGAATGAGGCTGGCCAAGCCTCTTTACACAAGCAGATTCATTCCTACACCAGCCTTTACATCCCCAGAGGTACAACCACTGAACACCATAGAAGAAAGGGGCACGCCGAGGTCTCTCTCAGCAGGGATAAAGGGACAAGCCTGTGGAGGTGCTGCACCAGTGGCTCTCAACACCTTGCAGCAAGTGAGAATGACCCAGGAGGCTTTGAACACTGCTAACACTGGGGCCCCAGCCGAGACCAATTCAAATAAATATCTGAGAATGAGATCTTAGCATTTGTAATTTTATACAGTTTTGAATCTAGTGCATAGGTTAAGATCCAGTATACACTTCCAGCATGGATGGACAACTTAAGTCTACTTACGAAAATAATGCATTGAGACTCAGAGTGTTATTCCATAAGCAGAATCGAAACTATCTTACTCAAGTGAGAAATGCATGGTCTGAAGCCAAGACACATCTCAGGCCCCATTTCCACGAAAACTTGTATATAAAATCATCTGGTGGTCGGGCATGGTGGCACACACGTGTAATCCCAGCACTTGGGAGGCAGCAGGATCAATGTGAGTTCAAGGTCAGCCTGGGCTACACAGCAAGTTCAAAGCCAGGTGGAATTATACAGTGAAACCCTATCTTAAAAAAAAAAAAAAAAACTCGCCTCCTGGTGCCCCCACGTTGGGCAAAGGGACAACACATGTGCCCTGCTTCTGACACTCAAGCTGCCCACTGCATTCAGACAAGGGTCGTCACAAACATTCCAAGACAGTGACAGCAAACCTTTCAGAGATGAGTGCCCAACTACAACCCAAACCCACACTACGCCAAAGTGCCAACGCTGCCATTAAACCTGAATGCCGAGCTCTTAGTTTTCTCTGAACAACTCACACATTAGCATCTTTTGTCTTAAAAGATAAACAAATGGGACGGGGATGTAGCTCAGTGGCACATGTGCCTGCCTGGCAAGCCCAAGGTCCTGAATTCGATCCTTGGTACCAAAAAAAAAAAGAAAAAGAAAAAGAAAAAACAAATAGACACGTTATAGGTTTGCCACCACTGCTCTAGGATGTCCAGCTTACCTCTTCCTCCTTTGCATTCTGATCAGTCTCCATTGGTTCCTCATTTTCCTCAGACTTGTGCACTTCCACTAGGGACGCACTGGACACACTAAAAATGCCATGCACGTTCACTCGAACCTTGACTTTCACTTTTGAACTGGAGCCATCAGACTGGGGAGTGACTTTCTGAACTGAAAACTGAGCTAGGGGTAGAGACGAAAGAGAACATGTAACACAGCGAATTCCAACAGGAACACAGGCCACATTCATTTCCAACAAGTCAGTAACTAGCACTTCGACAGGCCAAGTCAGTATCCAGCGCTCCAAGTCATCAGATGTCCCCCTCCTCTTTCATGTATGGTCACTCTCTTAGTATTCCATCCCACCTGAGGGCTCAAATATCTCCTAAACTGTTGCTTTTCCTCTCTTAATAAACATGCTGCAGCTAGACAGACTCCTAAAGCCTATGTTTGCCACTTTCCTCTTTAAAAAAAAGATGCCACAGTTTGTGTCATTTATCAAGAAACTGGCATTTCTAGAGCTAGTTATGAGGGTGTTACTTTTTTACTCCCACAACACTGCCAAATTATCACTCCTACTTTACAAATTACAAAAGCAGAGTAGGTTAACTTCACTTCCCCAGTTTCCAAGTACCACTGAGAATACCGATGATATTTTACTCATGTATTGTAATCTTTGTTGTCTAACTCTACTTTCCCTCTTCTCCACTTTATTATTTCCAGGTTATAAAAGCTCCCCGAGTTTGCATATGTGGACTCCCTCTACATACATATACACTCTAGCCAATACTGCTCCAAACCGAGCTATACTGATACTGTGTAACTATCTCCTACTGATTTTCTGTGTATCTTTTAACTGTATGTTAAGATCAAAATGGAGGCGCTGGGGATTTAGCTCAGCGGCAAAAGCGCCT